CAGGAGAGGGTAGGCTACCAAGGTCATTTCTGGGTCTCACTAAGATTGGGGAAAGCAGTGGCTGCGGGGCCCATGATCCCAGGTTCCCATCTAACTGTTTTACCTTCTCAGGGGGCTCTCCTCTGTCCCTGTGACTGTCAAGGACAAGCCTCCCCCTCACTGAAACCCATGCCATATTTTATATTTTTCCAGAAATGAATGAGTAGAACCCCATAACCTTCTGCCTTCTTCCCAATACACTGTGAAAGGGTTTTCCATTCTTGACTCCCCACCCCATAGCATAGGACAAGTACACCTGAATGAATGAAAAGGGAATGAATTCAACCTCTTTGACTGGCACTATTAATTTTTAGCTAAATTTAAGTATCCCTGTTTGTTTTCACACTCAAATATGCCACGGGTCAATTTTCCTTTTATCAACCTTTGATCTTTGTGTCTTAAAGACTTTGCTTTAAAACACCCCTGTCCAGGAGAACTTTCTGCGATGATGAAAATGTCCTGTGTGCTGTTCGGCACAGTAGCCACTGACCCCACGTGGCTACTGAGCACTTGCAACATGGTTAGTGTGACTGGGGGAATGAATTCTTAATTTTATTTGATTGTAATTAACTTTACTTGAAATAGCAATATATCTGGCTAGTGGCAACTGCCCTGGCAAGGCAGAACTGTCTGGCCCGTTCTTTCAATTCTCAACGTCAATGCAAATTGAGGATGTTATGTTCCCCTGGGCTGAATTGCCTCCTATCCCTCACTGAATGACACTGTGACAGCCTCAACAAAGCAATAGATTCCATTTCCAAGCACTTGCTTTGTGCCTCAGCCCAGCTATCTAGATGTGTCCCAAGAGATGCAGCAGGAAGCACATTGCCAGAAAGGAAGTCAGTGTACCCAATCACCTCAACTCCAGGGAGTGGAGTGGAGGGTGTGAAAGCCACCCACACTGGGCGCTGGACACCAGCTGGGCTGCATTTGTTTATACCACAGGGTGTTACAGTTGTCTGCCCCGCAGCTGAGGCGCTATGTCTAAGGGAAGGGGACAGAAATCGGCTTTGTCTGTGTTCCCTGGCACCTACCGCTGTTCTTCAAAGGGTACAAGATGACCAGAGGGAGTTGGAAGGGGGGAGACATAGGAGAGGAAGCTAGCTCTGGGCAGGCAGAAGCCCTCTGGGTGTCATTGTGAAAAAGGAAACTGTGTCTCTTGCAAGTTTGCATGCAAGCAGATACAAATGACATCTGTAACACTGTGCACCTGGCCCAGGGTGGACTCACACAGCCCACAGCATGGTGACAGAGGGACCTCTCAAGCCAAGCACTTTGGGACACACTGGGTCTGGGGCTCTGTTCTCAGTGGCTGCAGAAGCTGGACTCAGGCCTCAAGGCTCCGGAAACCAGTGTTACCCCACCCCTGACAGAGACCTAGAACCCTCTGGGTTTATAAAAGAGCTGTTAGGAATGCTCAGATCTGGGATTAGAGAAGAGTCAGTTCTACTGATAGCGCATGTGTGTGCTTTATGAGGTGCACCTGGGGTCCCTCCACAATATGAAACCTCAGTTTTGCCACCTGCAGCGCTGACCTTGGTGCCTGGGCTCTATCCCCGCCCTCCAGCACATTCTTCTGGTTCCTTACCCTACAGAAAACACATCTGTTCACCTGTAGGAGGTAGCATGAAGCAAACTTGATAAGCCACTAAACACTGAATTAAGCAACTAAAGAGTAATTACTTCAAGAGAACACCAGAGACAAAGCTTAATGGGCATTTATCTTTTCCTTGCAGTTTCAATATGTTGTTATTCCTGTTCATGTCCATCGCTAACCTCCCTCTCCCATCTTCACCTCTGGCTGCTATGTTCTTCTCTTGCACTAGAACGGTCTTTTGGTAAATTACTCCCAAATTCTGGTGCCTGAATAAATTAATGCATTTCTCTAAATTACACACTGCAGCTTCACTGACATTTCAGAAAAGCACAGAAAATGCCCTAAAACCTCCCTCCTCTCTGTTGTAGCAATTCTAAGCCCAGGAATTTATTTGAAGGAAATAATTAAGGATGTCCACAAGGGTCTAGTTACAAAGATGTGTATCCTTGTTATTGTAATTGTGAATAATTGGAAACAACCTGCATGTCCCTTAAGAAGACTAAAGATCCAGGGCCCAGGAACTGCTTGGTAGGAAGAAACCAATAATCAGTCACTAAGTCAATCAACCAACCCCAGAACTGAACGTTAAGGTAGATCCAGATTTCACAGGACCTGAGTCTTAAAAATCTAAATGTGACTTCTTCAAGAAAGTAATTAAGAGAGTTAATATAAAATTATCAGTACCAAATGAGGCCCAGGTGCCTGCGCAAGCAAGAGGCTAAAATTTCATGAGCCTCATGGCACATCTAGAGAGAGAGAAAAAAAAAGGAGATGCCAAAACTGGGCACCATCATCAGTAGAAAATAACATTCAAGATTAAGGATGAAGAATATTGGAGGAAAGATGAAAGAGAAAAGATAGGGAGGAAAATAATTGGGGAAAAGGCAGCAAGAAAAGGAAACAAAATAGATAAGCAAAAGTTAAAATAAAATTCAAACAAGGTAGGGGAGGGTGAAAAAAGTGGTTCTTAAAGAAATTTCAGTGGAGTCTAGCTGGCACCTATAGGAAGGAGCACTCCAACGGAGAGATCAGCCGCTCAGGAACAGAAGCAGAGCACAGCCTGGCTGCGTGGGTTTCTACAGACCCTGGGGTACTGTCCCACACCTCCACTGGCACCAAGACCACACACCAGCACCCAGTTCCACACCATTTATCCTGGGTCAGCTGAAGAGGATGCCGCCCTTCCTCATGTGCACTTGCCAAATGATTTCACAGGACACAGCTTTTCCTCCGCCCTTTTTATTTTTATTTTTTTTTTAATAGAGGCATGTTTTATTTATTTATTTATTTGTTTGTTTGTTTTGTTTGTACAAGCACTGGGTACAGTCAGAAGCGCGGGAGGGTGAGAGAATTCACCAGAGCCAGAGCGGGGAGCAGAGCAGGCAGAAGGACCGAAGTACACTGCTGAGGGGAGCAGCGGGCGGCAGGAGAGGTCTGCGCGCCATGCGGGACCCTCCTCTGGTGGCCAGGGAGCAGCCAGGAATCGAACCGGCGCCGCAGAGGTCACCGGCAGCTTCGCAACCCAGCGCTCAACCGCTGCGCCACCAGGGAGGCCCACCTCCTCCGCCCTTTTTAAAACAGGCTGCACACTCTTCCCTTGAGAAACCTGCTCCTGACCCCCCCTCGTTGCTCCCCAGCTGGGGCAGCTTTGACCTGTGGCCCATCCAAATCCAGGTAACAGGCCGGGCACCTGTCCCTCCAGGGACTGAAGAGCTTTCAAAGCTCTGAGAAGCAAGCTCGGCACAGGGCTGCAGCCCCTTCCCAGAGGAACGCTTCTGTTTTTGACAGCTCTGCCCACATGCTTTGTGCCAAGGTCACACAGTTCAGTTGCGGAGCCCATTGTGGGACTTTAGGAAGCTTCCAGCTGCTTCTGCCCGGGCTGCCTTCTCTACCAAATTGAAGCCCACAGTGGGCTCAGTGTGGACAACAGAGAAAAGGTGTTCAGTCCGCTTTGCTTTCAAAGCGGGTTTTGGCAAATACAGGAAAAGCCAATCCTGCCTTAAACTCAGCCACGGGAGTAGACTGGGGGGTGGTGGGAGGGAGTGGTAGGGGAGTGGCAGCTCCAAGAATTTTCAAAACTGGTCGTCTTGGAGGTGGTGCTCCTGAACAGCATGGCTGCTAAGGGACTGGCTGGTCACGGCGTCCCCACTTTTGCCAGAACGTTTGAGGACTCCTATCGACAAACCCCCTCTTATTCTGTCAGCCTCTGTGCAGTTCAGGCCAAACAACTACAAGCTGAGAGCACCGGCCGGCTGACACTGCCCTCCCAGCCTACAACCCCTAAGAATGCTCACCCTGGTGATCCCAGAATCAAACCAAGGCCAGAGTAACTACCACCTGGGCCCGCACTGTGGTAGGGGAACTACCACCACCTCACTGTTTGGTGAGGTGACCCTGGATGGTGGTTTCATGAACCAGCTTTTGGGGGGGAGGGGAGGTGAAGGAGAGACCAGTCTCCCTACGTGCTTCTCCTCTGCGTCTGGACCTCTCAGCAATACTGCTTAATAGGGGGAGAGCGCCAGCCCCTTGGGACTCAGGGGATCACTGTCAGGAAGCAACTGGACTCACTGACCTCCACAGAATCACCACCCTCTCCCAAAGCTTCTGGTGCCTGTCGCCCGGTCAGACGACCCATGTCAGAAGATACTAAGGAGCCCCCCAAATCACCCACCAGCCCCACCATCCTGGGGGGGGGACCACCTTCCCTCCTGCATTTCAGGCCTCTCACGCGGGGTCTGGTGAGGGAGGAGGGGCCTCTGGGCGCCAATGCGCTTCTTTGGGTCCCACACACTCGGCTCCAAGGAGCCCCAATACCCCCCACACACCCCCAACACACACGCGCGCGCGCGCGCGCGCACACACACACACACACACACACACACGCACGCACATCCAGCCCGCTCCCTCGCACCTCCGGCTACTCTGCTTCGTGCGCGCAGCGGCGCTGGGCGAGGGTTGCAGTTGCTGAGGCGGGTGGGGTCTCAGCAAGAGTTCCCCAACCTGAAGAGACCGCAGCACCTCGAGCGCCCCGTCTCCCGGGACCCTCTGGCGTTCGGGCCCAGCGGCCGCCCCTCAGGAAAGAGGCGCCAAGTCACTTTGCGGCGCGAGTTAAGGCGCTTCTAGGTGTTGGGGGGACTCCAGCTCACCGCGGGCTGGCACCCCGGGGGAGCGCCGGGCCCGGCCCCCTCGCCTCAGGGCGCCAGGGCGGGACGGCGGAGCGGCGTATCCCTTCTCGCCGCCTGCCCCCCGCGGCCGGGCTGCGCGCAGCGGAGACATTTAAATCGCTCCCTCGGGACGGCGGCGTGGACGCGGCCGGAAGGCGGCGGCGGGGCGCGGGGCGCGGGCGCGGGGCGCGGACACTCACCAGCGCGTGTTGTCGTGGACGTGCTCCAGCACCGCATAGCCGAAGAAGGAGCCGGGGGGACCCTGGAAGCGCACGGGGCGCTGCGGGTCCAGGTTGTAGGCGCCCCGGGAGTCCCCGCGGCCACCAGCGCCAGGAGCAGCGCGCAGAGCCCCCCGGCGCCCCTCCGCGCCGCGGGGCCGCCCATCCCCGGCCGGCCGCGCCCTCCGCTCTGCCCGGCGAACTGGGCGCCCAGCGCGCGGCGGCGGGGCCGCGGGGTGCGCCGACGGCCGGGAGGCTCCCGGGCCGGGGGTCCGCGCTCGGTCGCTGGCGGCCGGCCGCGCCGCGAGGGGCTGGCGGGCTGCGCGGGCGCGGGAGGCGAGCGCAGGGGCGGCCCGGAGCGGGCGGCGGCGTCGGTCCGCCCGAGCAGTCTGCGCGCTCCGAGCGAGCGGGCCGGCCCGGCGGCGCACACTGAGCGAGGCGCGCCCGCGGGGTGGGCGGCCTGGGCGGCCGGCGGCGGCGCGGCGCGGCAGCGCCCCCTGCGGGCCGCGCGCGCCCCTGCACCTCCCCGCGCCGCCGAGAGCGGGAGACCCGCCAGGGCGCCTCCCGCGGCCCCACCTCCCCACCGCGCCCTCGGGGCTGGGGTCCCCCGGCTACCCTGATGCTCCGCAGTTGCTGCGCGCTCTGCCGCCGAGCTGGGGCTCTCTCTCCTCCTCAGGCTCGAACTCACGGCAAGGACCGAAGGAACCGGATGAAGAAGCGAAGTTCTGGTCTAGATCCGCCCATCTGCGGGTCCTGCACTCAGCTGTGAGAGCTTTCAGGAGCGAGGCGTCAATAAGACCCGGTGTTGTTAATAACAGCCTTGCGGGAGAGCTGAGTCCCCCTACACCAGTGATGCCCCAGTGCGGTCTCCCAGCAGCATCAGCATCACCTGGGAACTTGTTTGTTGTGGTTTGGTTTTTTTTAGATTTATTTATTTATGCATACAAGAGCTGGGGTACAGGCCAGAGGTGCAGGGGGTGAGAGGATTCACCAGAGACAGAGTGGGGAGCAGAACAGGCAGACTGACCAAATACACTGCTGAGGGGAGCAGCGGGTGAGCCAGGAGAGGTCTGCCTCGTCATGTGGGCTTCTCCCTGGTTGGCAGGGATCGAACTCGTGCTGCAGAGGCTGTGGATTGCTTCATAGTGCGGTGCTTACCCCCTTGTGCCACCAGGGAGTCCCTCTGGGAACTAGCTGGGAGAGCAGATCAGCAGGACCCACTCCAGACATGCTCAGTCAGTTCCGGGACTTGGAAGGCAGCAGTGTGTCTGCTTAATTGTGATAAAGTACACATGACACAAAAGTTAGCATTTTAACCATCTTTAAGTGAACGTTTTAGTGACGTTTAACACAGTCACATTGCTGCGTGGCCTCCACCACCATTCTCCAGAACTTTAATTTCAAAAATGAAAGAGTAACTCCCCTCCCCCCGCCGCCAGGCCTTGGCACCACTATCCTACTTCTTGTCTGTGAATTTTATTACTCAAGTGCCTTACAAGATTAGGTTCAAATGTGACAGACATTCCACTTAGCATAATGTCCCCATGAATCAGAATATCAGAAGCATGTATCAGTTTCCTCAATAGTATTCCATTACATTATTCCATTTTCTTTACCTATGGATCCTTCCATGGAGACTTGGGTTGCTTCTACCTTTTGGCTATTGTGATTCTACTATGAACATTGTGTAATTATCTGTTTGACTTCCCACCTTCATTGTTTCAGGATGCATACCAGAAATGGAATTATTGGATCATGTGGTGGTTTAATCTGTGTTTAAATTTTTAGGGACTGCCATGCTATTTTCCACAGTACTGCAGCGTTTTACTTTCCCACAAACAGTCCTCAGAGCTCCAGTCTCTTCATTTTCACACCACTTGTTATTTTATACATCTGGTATAATAGTAGGGCATCCTAACAGCTATGACGTGGTATCTCATTGTGGTTTTGATTTTCGTTTCCCTAATGATTAGTGATGTTGAGCATCTTTTCAAGTGATGTTTGGCAATCTTGTTTTTTCTTTGGAGAAACATCTATCCAAATCCATTGCCCATTTTGCGATGTGTGTTTAACAATCTGTGATTCTGATGCATGGTAAAGTTTGAGAATCAAACTTTAATGAAATAACCTAGGAGGCAAGTGTTCAATAAATGCCATCTGTTAATAAGAAATTATCGGGCCTCCCTGGTAGTACAGGGATTAAAGACAGAGCTATAAAGCTATCACCAGCCACTGCAGCACGAGTTCAATCCCCAGCGGGCCAGGGAGCAATCCAAATGGTGCAGCAGACCTCTCCTGCCTCTCCCACTGCTCCCCTCAGCAGTGTATTCGGTCATCTGCCTGTTCAGCTCCCCACTCTGTCTCTGGTGAATCCTCTCACCTCTCCGCACCTCTGGCTTACACACCAGTTCAATCTTTTAAAAAAATTATCAGGGGCCTCCCTGGTGGCACAGCGGTTTAGGCACAGCACTGTGAGGCTGTCCACAGCCTCTGCAGCACAGGCTTGATTCCCGGCTGACCGGGGAGATTCCCACATGGCGTGGCAGACCTCTCCTGTCGCGCCCGCTGCTCCCCTTAGCAGTGTATTTTGGTGGTTAGTCTGCCTGTTCTGTTTCCTGCTCTGTCTCTGCCTGTTCTGCTCCCTGCTCTGTCTCTGGTGAATCCTCTCACCCTCCCATGCCTCTGGCTTGTACCCCAGTTCTTGTATAAAAATAAATAACTCTTTTTTAAAAATTAAAAAATAAAAAATCATTATCAACATCTTTTTTTCCTTCAACCACCCTCTGCCCCAGAATTCCCCACCACCCAACCGTTGCCTGAATCCATGTTCCAAAGCAGTGTTAAGTTACAGTAGAGTCTCCTCAAGAGAAAGAAAGAGAATTCTGCTTCCATGCCCTACCTCCCAACTGCTCACCTTTCAGAATAGACCCATCTTCCCTGCCCCCTAATGACTACAGGGAACCACTGGGAGGGAGGGAGGGGCTGCCGCCATTCACTCAACACATACGATGTTCCAAGCAGCTTAAATATAGTATTTTATATAATCCTTGCAGTGTGTCTTTAAAGTAAGTACTCCATTCTACAGGTGAGGCAAAAATGGTGGAGGCAAAGTGAGAAACATAAAGGTATACAATTTTTGAGTAGAGTTGGAATTTGAACCCCAATTCTTTCTGGTATAACTGGTACAAAATCTACTCCTTGCTCCGGTTCTACCAAATAATCCTGTGTCCCAGAGAGCAAGTACATAAAGTTTAAAAAAAAAAAGAAGCCGTCCATTTCTCCACTACTTGGTTGAGTCAACACTCACAGTTACAACATACAACGTAATGTAGATCACAAGACACTGTAGTGTGTAAAGAGGAAAAACTCAGGCTCCTTAATAGCATGTCTAGTATTATCTGAAATGTGTGCCTTGTCATGCATCTGTATATTTTCATCATGCACAAAAGGAGTTCTGGAAGTCTACCTCCAATATAAACAATGGTTATAGTTGAGATTGTAGTCTGTTCTTGGCTGTCTCCCTGTCTACCCTGTGTGTTGTTTGAATTATCTAGAGTCAGCATCTACATCCAGAAGGTGCAGCGTGTAGGGTAGCATCCACAGCCAGGTCAAAGCACTATGAAAGCGAAAGCCTATTAGAAACAGGGACATGAAGCGGGAGCAGTGCACACAAAGCCGTCTGCCTTCCAAAGGACAAGGAAATTTAACCTTCACACAACAGGGAAAGAAACTGAGCCAAAGGCAGCCCCCACCACCTCTCTATTGACAAGCCCTTGTCTACAGTCCTGGCCTCTGTTGAGGGGCTGACACCCACTTCCCCTGAAGGGGCTTTGCCAGCAGAGGTAAGGAGGAGGCCAGCCAACATATGGAAGAAAGTGGTCAATAGCCAGATGGCTCCTCACAGTATTTTCAAAGGAGGAAGAGATAAATAAAAAGGGCCTAGATCATTCACACACCTGATAATCATTCTCTAAGTGATTGATACTTAACTAAATGCACTTCTTGCTGTCAATTCTTTAAAAGTTGCCTGCACTGACTTTTTATATAAAAATGCTACACTTCCACATGGTTTTCAGATCCAGAAAGTTCAGAGGAAGGGCAAATACTATCACCAAACCTTCAACTATAATAGCAGGCAGAGATTTTAGCAAATACTTTCCCACTGAAGTATTTCATAAGCCAAAAGTCCATCTGTTATTATTGGGTGCAATATTTCCAACCTGCTTCCATAGTCAAAAAAAAAAATCTTTTCCAGAGACTCAAACTTAGTAAAACTGCTTAAAATAACAACAGCAATGTTAGAAAAGATCTGTACACCACAATGTCAAGTTTTTAGAACACTTCTCATCTCCATTTAAATGTTAATTACTGGCATGCCACCTGTTAAGACATAAACTTTTTTTTTTCTGAGTAAATTCTTTTTTTGTGTGGTGAATTACATTTTTTATTTATTTTTTTAATTTAATTTATTTTTATTTTTAAACAATATTTGCTTCTCCCCACCCCCTCAGATTGAGTGCCCATAGAATTTCCTTCCACAAGGCACCCGTGCACCATGACGGCAGTTCCCTGTGCTCCTCCCTCCCTCCCTCTGATCCCTCTCCCTCCTCCTCCCCTGCTGTAAGACATAAACGTTTTATTTTTTTTTAAACATCTTTTTTTTTTTAAGATTTATTTATTTATTCATACAAACACTGGGTACAGTCAGAAGCACGGAAGGGTGAGAGAATTCACCAGAGCCAGAGCGGGGAGCAGAGCAGGCAGAAGCACCAAAGTACACTGCTGAGGGGAGCAGCGGGCGGCAGGAGAGGTCTGCGCGCCATGCGGGTCCCTCCTCTGGTGGCCGGGGAGCAGCCGGGGATCGAACCGGCGCCACGGAGGCTACGGGCAGCTTCGCAACCCAGCGCTCAACCGCAGCGCTACCGGGGAGGCCCAAGACATAAACGTTTTAAATGACAGCAGTTTAGGTGATGAGTAAGGATCCTGGTGCTCAAAACCCTGGCCTGGAAGGTTGTCAGGTGTGAGAGTCTGCTGAGGCTGCTACAACAAAATACCATGGACTGGGGGGCTTAGATAACAGAAAGTAGTCTCACAGTTCTGGAAGTCCAAGATGAAGGTGCTGGCACAATGGGTTTCAGGTGTAGACGGCCACCTACACCCTATGTG